ATCCCACTACCCGACTCAGTAGAGATTCCAGTAAGCAAAAGTCCTGCTAAAAAGGCTACCCCTTTCACAACCTTTACCCCATCACATTCTTCCCATCCCTCAACCCCTCTTAGTAGAGACTCCAGTCAAGGAAAGCCTTCTCCTTTTAAAAAGGTCATTCCCTCCACATCTTCTAACCAGTCACATTCATCCCATGCCTCAACCCGTCTTAGTAGAGACTCCAGCCCTTTCAGACAAAACTACACACCTTACCAAACTCCCAGTCCTTCCCCCATTAAAGATTCCAAAATGCCCCCTCCTCCCAACAAAAGAGTCCTACTCAGGGCATAAAAGATAAACAGAAAAAACAAAAGCACATTTATAACACAGGCAAGGACATATGCCATAGAGATATAGAAAACTTTGAACTTTCCTCAAGTCCAACGTGTTTTAACAGTCATCAGAACCGAGAGTGGGCTTGTCAAGCATGGGCAATGCTTGATGAAGCAATAACATCTTATAAAATAACCCCGCTTATTGCCATTGTCGAACATCCAAGCTTGAAGAAACTGAAACCTATTTTATGCTGGGAGGGTCCCTGTTTTTGTTCACCCCTCCCTCTATAGAGCACTAAAGATGACTTTCCCGTGGGATATAGGCGGTCTCTCCCAAAACGGCACCATCAAGACTGAGGGGAGGCTGTCGGTATCCTGATCCCGTCCATGTTTAATTCAGGAAAGCAACCCTAATCAGTTTGATAATGTCTCTCTGGTTAGCTACTTTGAATGTCTGAGGCCTGAGGTCATTCTCGCAGGGTGAGGCTCTATCGTGACCTTCAGCGTCTCGGAGTGGATGTATGTTGTGTGCAAGAGACCCATTTTTCTTCTTGCGATCATGAGAGAATTCTGTCTAGGAGGGGTTTTCTCTCTATTCAGCATGTTTTGATGGATGCTCGAGGGGTGTCTCTTGGCTGGTGAGCAAGTCTTTGAAGGCTGCGTGTGATCTTGTCTTCGCAGATTCGGTGGGCAGACTTTGTGTGCTGGATGTTACCATAAAGGATAAGGCTCTACATCTCATTGAGCATTTTGAGCGGCCTGCTTTGTTTTGGCAGATCGAGCTGTTCTTGGCGTCATCTTGTCGGGTAGTTTTAGTGGGGGATTGGAATGCCGTCCTTGACCCCAATATAGATCATATAGGGTCAAATTCGGGTACTAACAACCGGGATATGAAACCATTTTGGGACTTTAGCAACAAGATCAAACTTGTCGATAAGTACTGAAATGAACACCCTTGGGAGGTAGTGTGGACTTGGACTAATAGTGGTGGCTCGGTTGCAGAGGTGCATTCTAGCCACCTCGACTGAGTCTTAGTCAGGAGAGTCGATGTAGGGCTCTTAGGATGTCCAAGTTTCAATTATATAGTTTATTCGGTTCATAGGCTCGTCCGGCTAGATAAGCCTAAGGTTACTGGAAATTGAAATGGCTGGTTACTGGAAATTGAACTGCTCATTATTTGGAGAGCAAGATTTCTGGGACCAGCTGCTACTAATGATACAGAGGGAAGTGATGGGGACTGTGGTGGGAAAATGTCTGGTGGGAGAAACTTAAATCTAAAATTAGAACGTTTGCTGCTGATTATAGTCATCGGCTCAATCTAGATAGATTAGTGGCGCAAACGGCTTGTGAGTAGAAAGTTGATCGGGCGATTAAATCCCGTGATAATGGGGACGTAGGCTTAGGTAAGGCAGCGTTGGCCTCCTTGCTTATCAAGAAGGATCAAGCTCTGGTAGTTCGGGCTAGGTTAAAAAGAATGTCTTCTGAAGCAATGAATATGGCCACTGAATTGCATGCAGAGGAGGTTCGTAGTGCATCTTGGCGACATATCACTTGCATCACATTGCCGGATAAGCGGACCATGACCACAAACAAGGGCATATGTGAGACTTTTCATGAGTACTTTCAGAAACTTTTTACCAGGGAGCCTGGTCTGAGCCCTGCTCAGTTCAATGCCTATTTAGCTGACTTTCCCTGCCTTGAGGCAGCTGAAGTGGCTGGGTGCGAAGATCCCATTACAGAGTCGGAAATCTGGGAAGCACTGAAACAGGTTGGCCTGGACAAATCTCTGGGATTAGATGGTCTTCTGTGTCAAGTGTACTTGAGGCAGTTGCCCGTTTTTGTTCCCTTGCTGACACTGATTTTCGACAACTGGAGGAAGCAGGGGTCCATACACCAACGCTTCATCAGGGGCGTTATCAAGTTGTTACGTAAGGATAAAAACAGTGAGGATGGGTTAGGTAACTTTCACCCTTTAACCATGTTAAACACAGAGTTAAAGATTTTGGCTAAGGTCTTAGCAAACCATTTGCAGGCTGTCCTGTCTAGTCTGATTGGCTCCGAACAGACTTGTGCTGTGAAGGACAGGACTATTCAGGACAACCTTCATATGGTACACTTGATCATCAAGCAAGTCGACAGTGAAGCCGCGCTCATCAATTTAGATCAGTCCAAGGCCTTCGATAGGGTTGACCATCCCTTTATCAAGACTGTCCTTTCAGTGGCCGGTTTCGAGCTGTATTTTTGCACCTGGATCCAACTTCGCAAGTTAAAGATGAATCCGGTCCTACACGGCATTTCCCTACCTGGTATTCCACCTATGCTGATGACATTTTGGTTCTTGTGTCGAGCAGGGCCGAGATTGAGGAAGTCAGCAAAGAAATCAGTGGTTATGAGATGGTAACAGGGGGCCAAGATCAACCGCGATAAGTCTGTCGGCTTGCAGTTGGGTGCATGGAAGGGAGTTTCTCTTCCTAGGCCTTTCCTCTGGACAGATGGGCCGGTCAAGATTCTTGGTGTCTGGTTCGGTCCTGATCTCCAGTTGTAAATGAATTGGTCGGAGGTGCAAGAGAAGGCCGAGATCACAATTAATTTGTGGACTCGGAAGAATCTTTCCTTATAGGGGAGGGCGGAAGTATGTGTTTCACACATCTACCTAATTCTCCTTTACCATCTGACACTTTACTGTCATTAGTGAGGCTCTTGTTCTCCTTCTTGTGCGGAGGCAAGGCTGCCAGAGTCTCTCGGGAGATCTGTTGCCTTCATCCATCTGAAAGCGGTCTAGGTATGCCTAGCATTGAGATTTGTTAATATATGCTTCACATCAGGTTCCTGGATCGAATGTGTCATGAATCAGATGAGGTAGGCGCCTTCTGGAAGGAAGATGCTCATAAGAACTTCCCATCATTGAGAAGTGTGCACTCGTGCGAGGAGGAGACCCACTGTTTACCCCGAGTTGAGTGCTCCTTCTACCATGAATGTCATCATGCTCTGAAACACCTCTTATGGGCATCAGATGGCCTCTCCAATGTCCAGGCATTGTCTCATAAGGCATTATATCAGGTGTTAGTTGGGGAGGGGGCCGTTCGTAATGAACTGATTGACAAGCTCGATCTTATGAACCAGGAGGCTCACTCAATATGGCCTTGGGCGCCCGGGTTGAAATGTCTCAATAACAATGAGGCATCACTCACCTGGCTGCTGATGTGTGGGGCCCTCTGGGTCGCCAAGAGACTTTGCACAGCGGGCTTGGAGAAATATCCAAACTGTTGGCGCTGTAGTGGGGAAGTCGAGACCATTGGTCACGCCTTCTTTGATTGCAGAGTGATAGTGCCGTTGTGCAAGTATGTTGAAGGCCTCATGGTTCGCATGCTACCTGGAAAGTTCTTTGTCCTTGAGGCCGTTCCTGTTTGTAGCAATGTGGCTCCGCTGCTGACGAAGGCTGAACATTATGTGTTCTTATGCTTGCTAGGTGTTATGAAGAGTCATGATTTGGACGACACATTAGAAGGGATTCTATGAAGACAAGAAGTTCACTTCTTCCTAACTGATCTTATACTTTAAGCATCAGCTTAAGGTTAAGATTAGGACGGAAAGGTGCCGACTCACTTCATCAGAATTCAGCAAAAGGTGGGTGAATCTTGTGTGTTTGTGTCATGTGAAAGGGGCTGACTTGGAGTGGCACTTTGATGCCAGTTAGGCATCAGGATATTGCTTTACCTGGGTTGAACATGGGCAACCCATCCTCAAATTAGGTTAGCTTAGGTTTGGTTTTTTGAATTTTTAGTTTCTTTTTTTTCAATAAACTTAGCTAAGGTATGTATGCTCATTGGCCCCTTTTATTTCTGTCCCTATTTTTCTTTAAGTTTATTTACCCATCCCCTCCCTCTTTAGGTGGTCAATGACATCAGTTCTCTGGTGGATGCGGGGCGTCTTTCATTTTGTGTGTGTGTGTTTTCGTATTTGTTATGTCTGAATGAGTGCATGTCTGTGTGAGTGCTTGGGCTGAACGATGTTTTATTATAGTTCTGCTTTAATTTCATCCAGTTAACTGATGTTTCTGCCACATTTAGTGATTGTGGTGTTTTTTATTACTAACATGATTTTGTTTAGTTTCTTATAAATAGTTTATATTTCATATTGTAAATACTCATTGGGTCTAGTTTTTAAAATTTTTAAATTGTTGTTTTATTCCCCTCCCCCCACAGACGATATATTGTACATATGGGGACTAGTTAGCATTTTCATGGAGACATTGAGGTATTATGGTGGATGTGGTGAGAAAGGTATGTAAGAATGTGTTGTTTTGGTGTAAGGAATATTGTTAGTATGATTGGGTCAGCATTTGTGGCTAGCTAAGTTTAAAGTTAAGACAGAAGACCGACTTTTCCCCATTCTCGCCTTGTGCCACATTTTCTGTTTTATTCAGGAATAAGTATCCTCAGTCCAGGTCTGCCTTAATGACAGACATACTGTGTTCACTTGTTCAACTTTGCTCCTAGTTTGTGAATTATTTTGCCTTATCAATTTTGATTTGCTTTAACTATGTTGTTTGCTTGCTTGCATGATTATTGCTTTCATCTTTTTCACCTTTTTTCTTTTCATTGCAAACTTTATTAATTCTGATCATGTTATTTATCTTTCACTTTAACAATTGCTTTATCATTTTATTTCTACTATTTTTTCCAGGTTACTTGGTCATGACAGATGATTGGTTTTCTGAATATGTCTATGAAGTCGTAATTCACAAAAAATATTTGCCTGCTGAAATCCTTGCCATTCTTGATCAAAACCCCATTGTTCTACCTGCTTGGGACCCAATGGGTTCTTTGGCATAATCAATCTTTCACCACAGAAAAATCACCACTTATTGACCTTTTCAGCCTCCGTCACTGTCTAATCTAGACATATCCAACATTATTTTTTGCAGATAAAGATGACGACACTTGACACACATTTGCACAATTTCACCTATCTCTATAATGAAGGAAAACTACTTAGAGAATGAAATATGACTCTTTAGAAATAAAGTACATCTTTATGCTGAGTTTTCAACTGATAACTATTTTCAGTTTATGCAGATTTGGTTACTGGATCTCTTAGGTGATGAATTTTCAGAGTTAACATAAGTTAACATTTATTTGAATTTAATCCACCTAAAACATTCAATTTATTTCTGTGCATTTTCTCCAAATGCTATCTTGATTCTGCAAAGTAACCTTTTTTTTCTTTTTTTTTTAACTAGCTTCATGAAGTCATTTGTTAAGCTTGCTAGGATATCTGTTTTTGTTATTTAACAGATCTTTAAGTGTAAAGTGAAGAAAGGGAAGTATTTCATCTTCCTATATATTATGCAACATACACCAAACATTTCATTTATACATGCACATGCACAAATCATTTTTCCTATAATTTCATTGGGGTTAATTGTTTTCCTAAGCAGCAATAATTGTGTAATCAAAAATAATGTTGCCAAAGTTTTGCAAGAAAATATTTTCTCTCTGTTAATCTGATTAATCTGGTTGGTTACATTATGCATGTCTGCCATTGCCTATCTGATAAAAACAATAAAACAAATAAAATATTTTGCATTTTTTTTGTTTTTATTTTTGAATGGATGTACTATATGCTATGCCTGCTTTTGATTATAATCTAATGTCAGAGCAGTTTGCTGATGAGGCTTACAATGCTACTGTAGTGCGTTTGATCCTCATTGGGTACTGCACTATTTTAGCATTGTACGAGATTAAGGTAATCAGGTAATAAGTAAATCTCTATAAGGTTACATAAGTTTGAATGGTAGATTTTTTCAGCATTTTCTTTTAAAATTTAATTAAATGAAAAAGAATTATAATCAGAATTATTGTTTATATAAATGTTTTCTTTTTGTTTTCCATTAAAAATGTTTTTGTTTCATTTTGACTGAAATGGGTTCCTTTGTTTTGTCTTTGCTTTTTTCTCATCTATAGATCTTTGTAAGATTGGTAGATGCAGTTTCCTTTTCTTTTTCTGTTGGTGATATGAACTCTTCCTTTTTAATTCTCCTCCTTCTCCCCCCCCCAAAAAGAAATTGGAATAGAATATACCAAATCTTAACAATTTGTTAGTCATTCACAACTGAAACAAAGAACATAAATTATGTCAATTGACATTTTCTTTCCAATTTTTTTTCACCTCCCAATTTTATCAACTCTAATTTTAGATAATTATGTATTTCCTTATTTCATGTTCCTTTTTAATTCTATCTATCTTTCTCTATTTCTCAAATCTTTCTTTTATATTTTTTCTTCTTTTTGATAAAATCTTTGTTTATTGTGCTAATGTTATCCTAACCAGTCATTCAATTGCACATCAATTTAACTTCTCTTTTACAGATATAAATTCATTAACTTTAAAATAATTCTTTTTCATTTTTCCTTTTACTTTTACCTGTCTTTAATGCCCACAGTCCAATTTCGTATGGATCAGTCATGGGGGGGGGGTGCTAATATAACAACCCAAAATACACTGCCAGAATTATCATAAGAAAATAACATTTATGTACAACAGTTGCCAACCAAATCAAAAACATGTAGCAAAGTGTTGAAACTAAAATCTAATATAAGCTTTCAAATATTCTTTGGAAAAATGCCATTGGAAGCAGTAAGGAATCTAATTTTATTAAAATCTCTCAGATGTGATGTTGTATTCAAAAAAGAAAATCTTATTATTCCCCTTATTCCTTTAATTCATTCCTACTTTCTATTGAATAAAAGTGCAGCTCATTGGAGACTCCTGTGGTAAAAATAGGGCTCACTTGTTTAAAACGGAGGTTGGCAACTTTCTCGATCTAAGACTTCTGCATCCAGAAAGCTGCCTTGATTAGGGAGGTTTAAAAGAAAAAAACAATGAAGTTAATGTTAAATTATTTAAACAAGTTTCCTTATTTTACTGCAGGAATAACAGGATAACAACACAATTAACAAAAAATGTGAATTCCTTACTTCAAATGAAATACAATTAGAAATGGTAAATTATTTAATGAGACACTTGTTTCTGCTTATTGTTCGATAACTTCTTCACATCAGATGAACAAAACATCATCCAAGTGGTTTTAACCCACCATTGTTCTTAAATAACTTTTAGTATATTTCATTTTTAAGAATTTTTCACAAGTATATGTTCTTCCAAATAGTGATACCATAATTTTTGCATTATTCAATAGGCTTTTATATTATCTGCTTGCCAAAACATATTTCTTGTAAAAGTCAGCAGCGGATTTGGAATTAAATTTTGATTTAAAAAAATTTGTCTCATTGTAAAACTGATGTTTTTGTGCCACTTTCTCTACAGCTTTTATAAGGGGTACCAAATAATTTAAATTGATTTCCATATTGCTGGAAGTCATTGAAACTGGAGGAAAACTAGTTTCTCAAATTCTGACTAGAACTCACAAAGAGATCTGGTATTATTCCTCTCTTGTGATTTTGGAGATTTGGAAAATGAGTGTAGTTTCTTTTCTGAAGTTGTGATACCCGCAGTCCAAATTTTTCTTTCAAAACCAGTAATTTGACCAAACATCTCAAATATAAGATTGTTCTTTCATTGAAGCTCAAGATTTAAAGTGTTTATGGAGGTCATGATGTTCACTAAAATGCTAAGTTGACAATCCGCTCTGAATCGTGAAAGTAAGAATTATCTTGGTCTTTTCTCTCCAAAAACATAACAATCTCTTCTTTCTATACATTTACTCATTCCAGCATTTTTCTGCTGCTAAGCCATTGAACATTTGAAAAATAAGTAAGCTCACCATATTGTGCTTAAATTTGTCATAGAAATTCTTGAAATTGGTGATGAGTTAGTCCTCGACTATAGAATTAACTGCTTTCACAGCTACTGTCATGATGTCCTTAAAATTCAATGACTTTGCACGTAATGCATCCTAATGCAATGAAGTTTGATTAGTTTGTGATCAATAACAATGTGTTATTGTTGCAATGCAACAAACCCATTTTTCTCTCCAATCACTGCTGGTCTTTCATCTGTGGTTACTTCAATAAGCTTTAATGAATCAAATTTTGTTTCAGTTATCCATTTTATCATGCTTTCAAAAATATGTGCTCCAATGCTAGTGTCCTTCATAGGAATTAATTGTACAAATTCTTAAACAATACCAAATGTTGGTGTTAGTCCCCTCACAAACACTATAACTTGACAATATCTGTCATATATGTGGTTTCATTGATAGCAATGGAATAATATTCCAGTATTTTCAAAATATTCTCCAACCTCTGACATTTGTTGCCAGTTCTTCAATTAGCCATTACTGTTCTTGCTGATTGCAGAAAATAATTCCCTTTTTTCTGGACAAACATCCACTACCTTCTTTGAAGAACTCTATCACTAAAAGGTTTAATCCTTTCTGCACTTAGTTTTGACACCTTGTAGCTAAGCACAAGTGTTTGTCATTTTCTTCAACCTTTCTAGTGAAAAATGATTGCTTTGTTAATTCCTTTCTCAGTCATGCAACTTCATCTTCTCATGCCTTTCCAGTGAAATTGTTAAAAAGATTATAACAAGTTTCATAGTGCCAAAACTCCTTCATGGCAATGGTTTCTTGACATGGGAAAACCTTTTCTGAAGTGCTTAATAAAAAAAATAGCAGTGTCTAGCCTTCATTAAAACATCAGCACTCAAAATCCACTTTTCTTAGTTTCCATGGGCTTGTTTTTGTTACAACCAAAAAAAATACGATTTTGGGAAAGGAAAGAAGAAAAGTGTATGGTAATTGAGTTACAGTTAAGTTGGCAGGCCAGATAAAAATCCTTTGCAGGGCAGATGTGGCCCACAAGTTGCCGACCTCTGGTTTACAAGATGTTTCATGGTAGCAAACTGTTCAAATTGCTTGATGTAAAAGTTACTTCACCTTAAATATTAATTTTTGCTCTTCACAATAGGAATAAAATATAACCTTCCTTTTAGTTTGGCATGCATGTACATTTGTAATATTTGTCTAATATCAACCACGTTTTCAAATTAGGTTTAATAAATTAATAACATTTAAATCCTCTAAGTTCTTTTTTGTCATTCGCCCAAGTCTAAATGATTTGATGAGTTTTTTTTTTATATTATTGTCCTTAAATCATTCACATTAATTATTAGTCTCGTCTCTGGCATGTTACAATAACTGAAATGATATGTGAGTAAACACTTGGATTAATATTTTTTTAAAGATTTAGATGTTTTTAAATTTTTTTTTTTTTTTATTTCTTAACTAGCCGGGTTGTGTATGTATTATATCAAAAGAACAGTAATGTGTAAAAGTTTTGTTTTTTACATTAATACAACAGATATTTATTATTTAAACAAATTTTTTTTAGTGGACACTCGTATTTGAGTAGACGCTTCGATTATTTATTAAACAGTATATTTATTTATTTTCGTCCCCCATTACTGCCATCATGAATTCTCATTCGCTGCGGGATACTTGCGCTTGCCTTTGGCCTATTTACTTCTTTTACAGACTTTCCTTGCAGATAATCACTACGCACTACCTTAAAGAAATGTAATTTTTTTTTTTTTTTTTTTTTTTTGGTAAGTGTAGTTTTATTTATAACAAAAACAAATTAAATAATACAACAGAACCTTTTTTCCGTTTCGAATGGCAATGACAAATTAAGAGAACAAATTAAATAATAAAAATAAAGCATTTTTTATGTTGTAAAATTGAAAATAAAACAAAATTAATGCCCAAACTTGGTAAAGTAGAAGCGTTGATTGTATTATTTCATTTGTTTTTAATTTGTCCCCTTTTCTACACAAAACTCCACCCCTAACCTTAACACCTAACTCTAAAGTT